AATTATAAAGAATCTCTATTATAGGGCAGTATACAGGGTAAATATTAGATTTTTTACATGCTTTGAGTTTTCCAACCTACTCATATTTTTATAATAGATATTTGATTATTAATTTTAGGCCATTGGTTTAATTACGTCATTTTACGAAATAAACAGTGTTAAGCACCGCCCCTTGAAAACACAAATCAGTTAGCAGCATTTCTAAGTACTATTAATATTTTAAATCTGTAATTTAATGATTTTTATTGCCTGTTTCAACATCTTTTGTATGTTTTTATATTGTAACCTTTGAGTAAATGTTTTGATGTGCTCTTTTTTTTTTATCTTTTAACATTTGTATATTTTAACTACAGTATTTCATTGAAAGTTCAATAAAACAAAGTGATTGAATTTAATAAAAATAGAAAAATTCATATTTTTATGAAAGAATATTTCCTAAACAAGTTATAAATAATATATCATAATACAGCTAATAATTAGCCAGTTTGGCATCATGAATTCTACCTAAGTTTACGTTTATTTTAAAAATTGTTGCTGAAAACATTAAGATCATCCTCATGCCAATTTTGTAGCTACAATTTAACACCCCTGTGCTGGTTTTTGAATTTTTCTTCTAGTGTTGTCTTTCAGATGGGATTTTGAACTGCTTATAAACTTTTTTTATAGCAAATATTTTTAAAAGATAAACACTTTGAAATTCACTCTACACAAATTGAAATCTGTTCTTATTGCTTCATTAAAAAATTTACTTAAAACTCACCTTTTCCGTCATAAACACGCACAGCCCCTTTAATGCATGTTTAATTGATACTTTATAAATTCCAATATTATTATTATTTATGAATGTTTTATTATTATTATTATAATTATTATTATTATTATTATTATTATTATTGTTATTATTATTATTATTATTATAATTAATATTATTAATATTTATAATTACTTTATTTTTATCATCATTATGTTACAACTATTTTATTATTATTATTATTTAATTTAACTATTTTATGTGTCAAGGTCATTTAATGTTACTATTATTGTTGTTATTAGTAATATTATTTTTTATTTCTTTAAAATATTCCATATATTCAGGTTCAAATACCCCAGGCTTTCTTCATTGAATACATTGTAAAACATTAACATGAATTACTTTATAATCAACTCAATATTGACTAACTACAATATATTTGAATTGAAAAGATAATTTGTAAAGTAGTTCACAAAATAGAAACATTATATTCATTGGTAAAAGGTTTCAGCATACAAAATGTAATTAAAGCTATTTTTTTCATGGATTGATTTCATTGTACTGATATTGTCTTACATGTTATATTCTATAGATTAGATAAGTTGTAGCCCTGACATCATTTTTTGTTTCCACAGAAAAATAATGTTAAATTATGTTGATTCTCTTAGCTTTTAAAAATATGATTCCCACTATCTCTTTCCTTGTTCAATTCAATTTTATTAAAATATCACGTATCATGCCCCGGAGGCCAAATTGCCTGTATTATAAGTTTAATAAATATTAAACTTCATAAAGCAGCAATAAATATGTACATTAAAATGTAGAATATAAAGAGACATCAGAAAAAGTACAATAAAACACTAAACTGTTACAATATTTTTAATTGATATAAACATTAAGAATGAATATTAGCAACAAGGAAAGGAAACAATATAAAGAAGAGAAAAGGATTGCAAACAGAGGAAAAGTATTGTCCAACCATTAAACTGCATTCCTTAAAGTATAAAATCAATTAATTATCTATTACTATGGTTACTCGTCATACAAAAG